GAACATCCTGAGAGAAGTAGCCCAGAACCAGAAATATACTCACTTACAAGTGGAATATACTCACTTATAAGTGGAATTAGCCATAAAATACCAGATAACCATGTTACAGTCTACAGATCTAAAGAAGCTAAATAACTAGGAGAACCCTAGGGACAACACTTAATTCTCATTCAGAAGGGCAAATACAATAGATACCAGAAGTGGTTGAAGAGAGAGAACCAGATGGAAGCCTACCATAAATGTCCTCTGAAAGAGTCTATACAATATGGCATCAAATAAGAGGCTGAAACTCACAGCCAAACTTTGGACAGAGTGCAGGGATTTGTAGGAAAGCATAGGGGAATTGAAGGACCCGGAGCAAACAGGACTTCCATAAGAAGACCAACAGAGCCAGCAAATCTGGGCAAATGGGGACCTGCAGAGACTGATGCAGCAACCAAGGTCTCTGCATGGAAAGGACCTAGACCCCCTGCTTAGATGTAGCCAATAGGTAGCTCAGTCTTCATGAGGGTACCCTAGTAAGGGGAGCAGGGGCTGTCTCTGACATGAACTCTGTTGCCTGCTCTTTGATCACTTCCCTCTGGTGGGGGAGGGGAACATTGCTAGGCCACAGAGGAAGAGGATGCAAGCAGTCTTAATGAGAAAATTGATAGGCTGGAGTCAGATGGTAGGGGAGGATGGCTCCCCCTTTTTGAGAAATATGAAAGGGGAATAGAGGGAAAGAGGGAAGAAGGGTGGTACCAGGAGGAGATGAGAGAGGGGGCTACAACTGGGATGCCAGGTGAATAAATTATAAAAAGTAAAGTTAAATTTTAAAAGAATAAAACAAAATAAAACAAAAAATGCAAACATACAAAAAAGAACATGATGAGAAGGCAGGGCTGGCAGACTGCAGGATGAGAGAATAAGAGCTACCTAGCTGGTAGCCTAGCAAATTCTTACATGCCAAAAATCTGAGATCATGTCACTAGCAGCTGGCTACAGTGTTTCAAAGAGCAAAGTAGAAAACAATGAAGCCAACTCAGGCAACCAAAAAATTCACAGAATCATGAGCTAAATGAAATGTGCACTTGTGCTGAAGTGTTGATTGAGATGGTTTACAACAGAGGGGGAAAAAAGAACGAAATCTAACGGTTTTGTTGGTGGGCCTGCAGAGACTGATGCACAAACCAAGGACCATGCGTGGAGAGGACCTAGACCCCCTGCTCAGATGTAGTCAATTGGCAGCTGTCTCTGACATGAATTCGGTTGCTTGCTCTTTGATCATTTCCCCCAGTGATACAGCCATGCCAGGCCACAGAAAAGGATCCAGGCAGTCCTGATGAGACTTGATAAGCAAGCGAGGGTCAGATGATAGGGGTGGAGGACTTCCCCTTTCACTGGACTAGGGGAAGAAGATGGAGAGAAGAGAGAGGGAGAGTGGGATGGGAAGGAGATGAGGGTAGGGGCTACAACAGGGATATGAAATAAATAAACTGTAAAAATAAATAGAAATCCTAATGAACATTAATAATTTTAAGCATTTAGGTAAATAAACAAAGATTATTAAATATGAGATAAGAGAGAAATCTGCTCTGTTTTCCATGAGATACCTAGTGACCCAGAAGACTAATAATGTAAGAACATGTGGGCTGTCTGGATGGAGAGCTTCAGAGAACCCTGGACTTTGACATGGTAAAGAAAGTAGAGTACCTTCTTTCAACTGAAGATAAAACAGGAAATAGGGTCGATTTTAGGGAGCATAGCCTACATTTCTTGCATCAAGCATGTCTAGTGCTATGCTCCTGAACAGATCCTGCTACAGTACAGTTGTCGGTACATAGAAAGTATGGAGAAGTAACAATGAGGAAGGGGTGGATGTCTAAGCACCAACTAGACACCCCAGTAACAGACACTGACAATCTCAGGGGGTGCTATGATAGGCAGTTTTATTAACTTTCATTTTAGTGTAGCTGTTTGTATTCACTTGTTCTGTTCCCTTTTCCCAGACTAGTCACTGAGCAGAAAATCTCATGCACACATACAACAGCAGAGACTTAACTAAGGCTGAAGAGGGGAACATGGCAGATAGGTGCAATTGTAAGTCTGGGCTCTGTGTTGAGTTGTGTTGAGGTATCCCCTCCCTTTCAGCAAAAAGACCCAAATGGCTTTGAATAGAAGTACAGAGCATTAGCCATGGAGAGGCCAGTAGGATTGCCATAGATGTATGTGTAAGGGAATTCTTGGGCTTATGTTACTTAGCAACAGTCTATGTTGTTGGATAAGAAGATATAGGAACTAACAGAGCAATCTGCACAGTTCATCATAGCTTGGCTATAGAGTCAAAAGGCATTGAGAGAGACTGAGACCAAAACCAGTGAAAAAGAAAGAGGAAAGACTGGGATGCTTTGAATTAATCTCCCATTCAAGGGAGAAAAAGTTTTCCAACAGCCTGCAGCGAGAATTCAAAAGTATTTGTTAAACAAATCAAAGTGTGGATAAGTCAACAAAGGAACAGGTTTTCTTATAATATTCTCATACATTTCCTACAAAGAGTGAAGTATAGAAGAAACACAACACATTAGACAGATTTTATATATGTGTGTGATGGTTTTAATGAGAATGCCTTCTGCCTAAGAGCTCATATATTTGAATGATTGGTCCCTAGTTCATGACACTGTTTTGGAAAGAATAAGGGAGTGTGGCCTTCTTAAAGAAGGTGTGGGACTGGGGGTGGGCTTCGGGGTTGAAAAAACCCATGCCATCTCCAGTAAAAATATTCTTGTTCACTCTCCAACTTGCAGATAAGTTCTTAGCTACTGCTCCCGAGCCTGCATGTGTGCTGCCATGTTTTCTACCATGACAGTTGTAGATTCCCCCAAATAAATATTTACGTTTATAAGTTGTCTGAGTCATGGTGTCCCTTCATAGAAATACAAAAGAAACTAATACAGCTTGTATTATATACACATACAGAATGTACATGTCAACATGCATGTCAATATAACTAAGAATAATCTTAAATTCTACATAAAGAATTATGGAGCTTTATTTTTATGTTTTCAAGAAATAGTATATTTTGCCTCAGTGTCTAATGATACTAAATTGCTTGAATGGCAATGGAAGGGTCTCAGGCTTTGCCTAACAAAATTGTAGTCTACTAAGGGGCCAGCACTGTGAGCTTCTTGGTCATGGACATGCCCTAGAGATCATGAGACTCATGTTGCTTCATGCGAGCCCCCGGATTCACAGTTGGTCTTGTTTTTCAGCTGGTTTTCACAAAACCTTATTTCAACAAACTGTTGACATTTAGAATTTCAAGTTGTCCATTAACCTCATCATGCAACATTCTGCTGCTGGACAGAGCACTGGGAAGGCAGGAAGCAGGCAAGAGATTCACTTCCATCTTTAAGGCGATTCAGGACATTGGTGAGTTCCAAATTAGAGCAGACGTTATAATGACAGTATTGTCTCCCTTCCAAACAACTCCACACACGAGGCCATCTTCAGTGTAACTTTCTTAATATGTCAACAAGTCATCAACCACATTTAGTTGAGAGCAGAGAGGTTACCAGGTAGATTGTACCACACATGGGAAACACCACCCATGCTCTTTATACCCCTCAAAACCTAGCACTTGGGCTAATAAACTTGTTCATTTTTTAAAAACCCAACAAGTTAAAAACTATCCTTTAAATTTGGTCATAATGTAAAAGCTTGAACTTGATGGCAAGTTTCAGGTCAGCATAAACTACAGGATACATTCTACCAAAAATTAAAAAAAAAAGCTATTAAATTGTTATTGAGAAATACTCTTCTGAATTTATTTATTTGATCTCTATGATTATTATGGTTGGGTGCACATCAGTAGCTCGTTGGGGATCATTTTCTGAGATGCATAGTCATGCAAATCAGGGATACCAATGGCATAAAACTGACCTTGCTAAATGTGTGGCTTCCTTTCTTCAGAAGTGCTCCCTCTCTCACTAGTGACAGTGCAGTTCTATACAATAGCTGCTTCATCCCTTAGTTAACGCTTTAATCCCTCCCAACCTACAAGAGAAGCATTCTCAAAGCTCATGTATCAACTGGACATGGGTGTGTATGTGTGTGTTTATAATTCAAGCTACATTTTCTGATGAAGTAGTTTCATTAAACTATCACAAAGTTAAGGCAAAAGCCTTTCCTCTTCATGTATTATCAAGTTTAAATAATTCTAACATGGTGCTCAGTGAAGTGGGAACAAAAGACATAAATGTCCTTGCCAAGCAGTAGATGAAGCGCTGTACATGTCAGTATGCTGCCCACACTGTCCTCCACCATCTCCATCTTTCCTTGTTGCTAGAATCTCAGTTTCTTAGAAGCTATTAGATTCTCAGCATCTCTACTAAGAAGCAGAGCTTATTTGCATGTCAGTGACATAAACAGTTGGCCACACATAAATGCTTTCACATCCCATTTTCAAAAGCCACTGATATGTGTAGGAATTTCTTCTGGGAAATACAAAATACAAGCTGGTAAAAGTTACTTCAGACTTGGGAATTTAGTGCTCTGTTGCAGAACTTACCCTGCCTACCAGATTAAATGACTTCAGGATTTTAGTCACAGTTTTAAACATATATACGCATGACCAAAAATTAGAATTACAAAAAATGGTTTTTAAATGTCGTTCAAAAAAATAGAACTAAGGCAAATGATAAATTAATAATATACTTTAAAGTATCCTAAGGAGATATTTCATGATTTCACAATCACTTGCTATAAATTACATATACAATTGTTTATGGATATATAAATATATAGTCTATTTTAAAAATCACAAATAACCATAATCTAAATAACATAAAATGGATTATTTTAGTTGAATATATATTGACTATCTGTAAATGTTAAACATATAGTTCAAGTTTAATCATTATCATGAGATTTGCTTGATTATTATTTTAAATAGCCTTGAAAAAAACATATTTATCAAAACCACAAAGAGAACATGTCTAGCAATGGGAAAATGGTTTATTTACCTGGATCTTCTATTGTTAAGTTCTTTATTAACCACTGAACAATGTCTGACCCTAGAAAAAGAAAAACACAAATATATGTGAACCTTTTGTTTACACATTTAATGTTAAGAACTTTCTACTCTGGGTTCTCATATCAGTAAACTCTTCTAATCATTTCAATAGACACTGAAGAGTCATCCACAGATAGAGCACCAAAAACAACAATGTGAATACATTTCTCTAATGAGCCAATGTACAAGATAACAAATTATTAAATATAATTTGTTGTATATATACATAGACTATGCCTTCATTTATTTAAAAGCCTCAGTCAGTAAGTTTATTGAATGCCATATTTCAGGCACAAATCTTATCATGGCATGAGTATGACTTTCCAAGAAACTCCCTCATTTCTGATTGTCCTTATCTTGTCCTTGTAGTTATGTTAAGTGAGGTCAAGAATGTCTGAGTCTTTAGTATATCCAGAGGCTTTAGCCTCCTATGACTTCATAGTGCTTTTCTTTCTGAATTTCATGTGGTGTACTTATTTCCCAGAGCCCCTCAATTCTGTCTTCTCGGCACAGCAGCCACCTCAGCCCTTCCCTCAAAACCTTGGGAATTTTTATCAGAGTCTGGACCACACCACCTCACAGCTGTGTGATCACATCCTTAAAGAACTAGCTGGAGCCAGTGGCTCCACAGTCCCTCAAGGTAACCTATGCCTCATTATTACAGCACTAAAACCCATACCTAGAGATTTAAGATGTTCATGAGACTAGAGATGAAGAAAGTTGTATGTGGAACTACATGTGACAGATAGATGTGATTGGCAAAGTCCACATTATGCAAAATAGCAACAAGAGATGGAGACAGGCAGTCCCAGGGGGTTATTGCCTAACCAGTCTAATTGAAATGGTGAGTTTTAGGCTTGATGACTTTGTTTCACAAACAATAACATAAAGAGTGATAGCAGAAGATAACTGGTGTCAACCCATGTCCTTCACACAAGCATATACAGGCAAGTCCTCATTCACACACTACATGTTCATACAAATGTGCTACATACATACTACATATGAGCTCACAAAATGTAACATAAAAAACCATCTCTTGTATACCATCTGTCACCTCAGATACTAAAATTTCCCACTGCTCTGGTTCATGCTCTACCTTGGAAATGTGTCCTCTTCAAAGCCTAGGTATAGACACATTCAGCAGAGAATTATACCAGATCTCCAAAACAAACTAACAACAATACTCCTCATTATTCTGAAAAATAAAAAAAGGACACTTCCAAATTCTTCTTACTAAGCCAGTATCGCTCTGATACTAAAATTATATAAAGAACCAATAAGAGAGAGAGAGAACATAGATGCAAATCTGGTGAATATAGACACAGATTTTCTCAACTAACTAATAAAGAACCAATAAGAGAGAGAGAGAACATAGATGCAAATCTGGTGAATATAGACACAGATTTTCTCAACTAACTATTTTCAAACTGAATTCAAGATCATATTAAAGACACCATCCATCATTATCAAGTCAGTTTCATTTCAAATGCGGGGATATTTCAACATCTGTAAATAATTAAATGTTATCTACCACAGAAACCAACTCAAAGACAGAAACTGTATGACTATCTCATTAAATGCAGAGAGGGCCTTTGACCAAATCCAACATCTCTACATGATAAAAATCCTGGAGGATTTAAGGATATATGGGGCATATCTCAATTTAATAATGGTAGCATGCATCAGTTCACAGATAATGTCATGCCAAATAGAGAAAAACTTAAGAAAAAAGCATCTATCAGTCTTAATCAAAGAAGGCACTCCTTCCAGTGAAGGGTGGTGGATGCACTCATGGCTGATCAAGATGCAGAAAACGGGTGACAGATGTGGGACCAGCCCCAAATATGTCACTTATATTATGCCCTCCAAGGCTCATGGAACATTGCAGGAGAAGGAATAGAAAACACATAAGAGCCATAAGGTAAGGTAAATGGTGAAGGGATGCCATTGTTTAGACATGATACAATTATTGTAATCATTAACAACCAAAAGCTGAGGTTACCTGCATTAGGCCCACACAAGACCAGCCCTGTCAATCTACCAACAGGCAGTCAAAGACTAACAAGGGGCTCATTGGCCCTTGCCTTTTGCCTTGAAAACAAAGTGGACTGCAGGCTCATAACTCCTAGGTTCATATCTCTGGAACTGAAGCCAGCCAGCTGTTTGAGGATGAAACTGTGCCTCTATAGTTTGTGATTCTCAGCTTGAGGTTCCTATTCTTCTTTAATCAAAGGAGGGGGGAGAAAGTTGAGATCATAGAGCATAAGTATTGCTGTATAGGTTGATTGAAACACATTCTAGGAAGAATAGACCTTAACAGACAAACCAAGGGGTAAATACTATAGCTCCCTTTCAGCTTCCTCTGTTAATTTTCATGAGAAAGAAAAAGGAGGTGGGGCTTGGAGTCATATTTTTTAATAAAATGAATATGCATTTCTGCCTTATGGATACAAATGGACTTTGCTTTGTAGGATTACTGTATTTCTGAAGAGCAGTGTATGAGGTTTTTTTTTTTGGCAGTTGAAGAAAGTAACATTTTATGCACACTAAAAATAACTATTTAAAGAAACCATGTAGTACATTGTATGTGAATTCCTCAATTGCATTGTATTTAATGTATTTAATGAAAGAATTTACTTTCTAGGACTGGGTAGGTGGCTCAGTGGGTAATGGAATGTCTTGCACAAGCATTGGAGTCATGGGATCAAATCCCAGTACCCACATAAAAAGCTGGTCATGGCTGTTACATACACCTGTAGACCAATGCTCTGGGAGGTGACGAAGAAAGGCGAAGGCTTGCCAGCAACCAGGCAACTCTGTCCCCGGTTCAACTAAGAGACCTGTCTCAAGGGAATAATACAAAGGGTGACAGAAGAGGATGCGTGAGGTTTCCCCCTGTTTTCTGAAAAGAATGCCCACAGGCACACAGAATCACACACATCACACAGATCACAGTCATATACATCTACAAAAAAAATTCTCTAAAAGAACACCTGAAGATTTCTTTCCTGGAATGTTATACACCGGATATACTTAAAGAGAATTTACTGTTCATTGCGTTAAAAGTTAGCATCTCATCCCACTTTGAAATTGGACGTAACTTAGAAGGTAAAGTCCATTTTGTCTATTGCTTAAAATTAATATGAATGAGATATAAAAATCAGTTGACACAAAATAATCAAAGAAATATGATTGTCTTAGTAGATAGCAAATCTATTTTCAATCTTGGTCTATAACACTTAAAAATGTAGAGAAATGAAATTATAAAATGTTCAAGTAAATAAATGGAACTGGAAAAAAATTATGCTGAACGAAATAAACCAGACCCAGGTGGAAACTCTGTAACTTCTCTCTCATATTTGGATCCTGGTCAACTTTTAACTTTTAACTTTTTCATAGCCAGAAGGCTAAATATGGACCACTGCAGGTAGGGGATGTCTTCAGGAAAGGCGGCAGGTGGAACACAGCTGATAGGAAAGCAAGCAGTAGGTACTGAGGATGGAACTCTGTTTCTTCTTGTGTGTTATAGTGCTCTCTTCTAGGCTGTGTAAGTTAACATTTCTCTCCTTGGAGGAATGAATGATTTATAATAATTCAATAACCCTCTTAATTACTTATGCATTTTCTCATAGTAATATATATGTATATATATATATATATATATATACTTTGTGTGAGATTAATACATAAATTCCAACTTTTCATTGACTCAACTTCATATGATAATTGTTTCCTAAGAACTGAGGAAATGTCAGTAAGCAAAGTATTTATATTTTGTTGGGGGATAGAAAGACAATAAGCAATTAAGCATGTCAAAATCATCATGATTGCTGAGAAGAAAGTCACATGTTACTGGTAAAGTAAGGTCTGAGACTTGAATAAATTATGTGAATGTGTTGGGCAAAAGAGTCCACGGTAAGAATAACAATTCCCCAAACTCAAAGGCGGAATCCTCACAGGAGCATTAGGGAAACAGGAATGTTGAAAATGGCCCAGACTTAACAGCAGTGTTAGAGCTGTCAACATTTTTCTTAATTGCTGAAGAAGTAAAATGTATTCAATTCCTGTAACTATAACTTAAATTATTAAACATCTCCTATAATAAACTTCCAACACATTGACCAACAGAGTCTAATTTCATAGGCTTTTATACCATATCAAACACCTTGAGCTAAATTTGTGCCCTACGAGGCTTACCGTTTTGTATGTACATTTTAGAATAAATGATTGTTTCATACTGAGCAATGACACTAAATGTTAACTTCATTTTTCATGTTAATTTCATTAATATTTTGTTATACTTATCATGCTATTATCAAGTAAATTTATGATGGTTAATTTAATTGAAGAAATAGCAATCATATTCCTGAAATAATTTCACTTAGACAGGTCAATCCTCCCTGATTTCTAGTAGGCAGTGTTTAAACATCTCTCATAAGAATCAGGACATGACATATTCTGCTTCTCTGTTTCGTACATGTCTCTTCAAGCTGAAAAGCCACCCCAAGATAACTTTCATAGGAATGTAGGACAACATGGGAAGACCAAGTATGTCATTTACTCCAGTCATCTGCTCAGACCTTAGCTAGTTGTAATTACTGTTTAACTTACAGGTTATAAGAAAGGCATTCACCAAAACACTATTAATTGAGAATTTGGCAAACATACCTCAAAAGACTATTGCAGAAAATGCCTGTAGCATACAAGAAATAGTAAGGTAATGTAAGACATGAAAAGTAATGAAGAGAGAGCTTACATCATACCTAATTAGGTTTAAATTTCCCAGCGAAAATGTCACACAAACACACATGAGCATGTGCACACACAACCCTTATAACAGCAACAACAGCAGCAACAACAAAAGAATAAAGAAAGGAGCTCTAGAAAATTCATATAACTGGATTCAGAATAATTGACATGGAATCCTAGGAGAATGCAAAGTGGAAGTTCCACATGGCATTTGTAGGAGAACAGAGAACTTCACTTGGAATTGTGTAT